AATAAATGCATGTATTTTGAGAGATGGGTAATAAATTTTGCTTTCAAAATCTATTTCTGTCACTAAGATTTCCATGGTTTCAAATTTAGTTAGTCAGGTAGCACACAATTTATACACCTTAAATTTATAGAAGTACTCACAACTTTTTTTGCTACAGAACAAAAAGTTGGAATTTATGGTTAGTATAAAAATAACTACCATTTCTGAGCACTTATTGTGTCAGGTCTGTTCTGCATTCTTTCCATATAACTTAATCTTCCAATTATAGGTAGCTATCTATAGTGGAGTAATTGACTTAGCTGTGACAAATACACCCCCACACTCAGTGGAGGGACACAATATAAATTTATATATTAGTCAACAATGTCTGATTCTTATCCTTTAGGGTTTGGGGTTCTTTCTATTACGGGGCTCCAGCGCCTCTTTTGCTTCCTGCCACATGAACAGAGGAGAGAGACAGAATGTGAAGTGGGTATACCAGTTCTTCATCTCCTCAGCTCAGAATTAACCCTATGTAACTTCTGATTACATCCCATTGGCCAGAAATCAGTCACAAGGTCAAATGAACTGCAAGGGAAGCTGGGAAATGGTGGGGACAATGTAGACATCAGTAAACACTAAAACGCACCTGTCATAGTTTACCTTTCTGGCCACCAAATATCTATCTCCTTCCCTCTTTCCAAACACTGAGCACACTGATCCCTCCCCAAAGGAAATAATGTCAAATTCCATGCAGTGGCTGCGAGCAACTCAAAGTGCAGGAATTCTGGCTATGTGGGGTTTTCCTTGTAAGTCTGATTTGGCATCTCTTGACCCAGTGACCTATGAACTAGAAGGAAAATAAGGTATAAAGCAAAGGACAAGTCCCTCTCTCTCTCCCCCCCTCTCTCTCTCTCTCTCTCTCTCTCTCTCTCTCTCACACACACACACACACACACACAATATAAATGGTGCAACAGTGGTAAGATAACCACAAAAAAATTCCCATTCAGAAAATGAAAAGAAAGAATGAGAGCTACACAGCCACCATTGATTTCATGCAATGCTCCCGTTAAAAATTTAAAATTAGTATACATTATATTTTCATAAAAGGGGAAAATACCTAAACTGGTGTTATTGGTCTTATTTTAACCTTCATCCTGCTTGCCAATCACCATCCCCAGAAAGGTTGCTTGCTTTGCAGAATTCGTCCACGCAGCTGAATACATTTTCTGACATTTAGTTTGTAACTGGTGATACCAGTTTTACTGAAAGCACCCTTCCCTAACTGACATATCCATCTCTCTCTCTCTCTCTCTCTCTCTCTCTCTCTCTCTCTCTCTCTCTCCCTCCCTCCCTCCCTCCCTCACACACACACATACACACACACTTGTGAATTAAAATTATAGCCAACTTAAAGTGTGGTCAACTGAAATTGGTGATTTAAAATGTTTATAGTATATCTTCAAAAAAATTTTCAACTACAATCTACATTTAATACTATTCTGCATCCGTCTCAGATGCACAGCACAGTGGCCAGTCACACACTCTACAGTGTGGTCCGGTCCCCAACATACCAAGCAGCCACCTGGCCCCATACATAAGTCATTACCATATTATTGAATACCTTCACTATGCTGTAATTTACATTTCTGTGACTATTCTGTAACTACCAATTTGTAATTCTTAATTCCTTCATCTTTTCTACCCAGTCCCTCAACCTCCCTCCCCTCTGTCAAATGTTAACCTGTCCTGCTTTTTAATTTTATTCTTTAGGTTTCATATGTAAAGTGAAATCATATGGTATTTGTCTTTCTATATCTTAAATCAGGGATTGCTCAGTACATGATAAATAGTAAGTGCTCAATAAACACTTACTGAATGAATAAAACAGTGCATAGGTCCAGACCAATCAACTGTTTTGACGATCTTGGTTTTCAGATCTTGGTTCCCATCAGGCAAGGTTAATATGACAAAGCTTCTACAGATAGTAAAGGTCAGATAATGTATGCCCTTGTTAGACTTAATGAATGGTTATAATATAATGAAATCCCCTAAATGACTATAGAAAACATCTATTAAATAAATGAAACCATTTGGTGGAGAAAGTAAATGTTGACACAGGCACAATCTATTAGGTATTCTCACTGTGTAAATTTATGCAAACAAGTTATAGCACAAAAAGTCTCATTCATCAATTAAAAAGCTATAGATTATTTTTTACTGTGATTTCTGAAGTCACCCAAAGTAACTATTATTCTATGGCCAGAAGATAACACTTCTGATTGAAATGGTGCAAAGAGAAAGAATCTCACACCACAGGGAGGGGTCAGGTTTCAGACTTAATGTGCTGTGAAGGCAGAGACAAAGGTGGAGTTGATTTTTGCTCTGGCTTCTCCTGGGGAGATGTCTGGAGACACAAGCACACATAGTGTCCTAGACACGGATCCACCATGCTCCAGTTGTATGACTTCCGATGTGTTACTTCATTTCTGTAAGTGTTGGTTTCCTTAGTGATGAAATATTTAATGTAGGTATGTTAAAACAACCTATTTACATATACACAGAACACTGCATTTATTCAACACAGTAGAGGTGTACTGCCCTGTGGGAGGAGGAGGTTCTGGGTAGGGCGCTGGCTCCGCCCTCTGGGAAACTCCCTTTTCCATCATCTCTATGGCCACCAGGTCCTCCTCCTGAGAGGCTCCCCTGGCCCACCTCTGAGGTGCGTGTTGAGGAGCCGGCCCTTTGTGCAGCCAACGGTCCACTTCCTTAATCTAGAGGAAGACGTTATTTTCAGTCTTGAAAGACATATTTAGCACAGGCTTACAGTTATTTTAGCAATGTAAGTCCTGCCAAAAATTAGTAGGCTTCTGCAAGCCATCAAATGTAATTTAGACATATTTCTTCTAGGCTCATCTCATTCTTGAAAGACCTTGTCAAGTGCTGTTGATAGTAGCCAACACACACCACTATTTCTTCCCCATCCTCCTCTCTTAGACCTACAATGTTACGTGGCACATGTGGCCTTTCAAGTTGTCACAGATGTCAGTTTCACTGAATGTTTCACCATTGCAAAGCATGCTTTTCACCTTTCCAGCCTCTGGTCTCAGTTTCCTTAGCACTCACCTCCTATTAGGCCAGCGCCACTGAGTTGAAGTTAGTGTTAGAGCAGGATCCCATGTCCATGACCAATCACAATGTTCATCATGTGACTCATAAATAGGTCTTTCAAAATACCAGGTACACAATGAGGTGCTTAATTAATATTTGTTGAATAAATGCAATATTATGTATATATGTAAATAGGTTGTTTTAACATACCTACATTAAATCTTTCACTACTAAGGAAACCAACACTTACAGAAATGAAGTAACACATCGGAAGTCATACAACTGGAGCATGGTGGATCCGTGTCTAGGACACTATGTGTGCTTGTGTCTCCAGACATCTCCCCAGGAGAAGCCAGAGCAAAAATCAACTCCACCTTTGTCTCTGCCTTCACAGCACATTAAGTCTGAAACCTGACCCCTCCCTGTAGTGTGAGATTCTTTCTCTTTGCACTATTTCAATCAGAAGTGTTATCTTCTGGCCATAGAATAATAGTTACTTTGGGTGACTTCAGAAATCACAGTAAAAAATAATCTATAGCTTTTTAATTGATGAATGAGACTTTTTGTGCTATAACTTGTTTGCATAAATTTACACAGTGAGAATACCTAATAGATTGTGCCTGTGTCAACATTTACTTTCTCCACCAAATGGTTTCATTTATTTAATAGATGTTCTCTATAGTCATTTAGGGGATTTCATTATATTATAACCATTCATTAAGTCTAACAAGGGCATACATTATCTGACCTTTACTATCTGTAGAAGCTTTGTCATATTAACCTTGCCTGATGGGAACCAAGATCTGAAAACCAAGATCGTCAAAACAGTTGATTGGTCTGGACCTATGCACTGTTTTATTCATTCAGTAAGTGTTTATTGAGCACTTACTATTTATCATGTACTGAGCAATCCCTGATTTAAGATATAGAAAGACAAATACCATATGATTTCACTTTACATATGAAACCTAAAGAATAAAATTAAAAAGTAGAACAGATTAACATTTGACAGAGGGGAGAGAGGTTGGGGGACCGGGTAGAAAAGATGAAGGAATTAAGAATTACAAATTGGTAGTTACAGAATAGTCACAGAAATGTAAATTACAGCATAGTGAAGGTATTAAATAATATGGTAATGACTTATGTATGGGGCCAGGTGGCTGCTTGGTATGTCGGGGACCGGACCACACTGTAGAGTGTGTGACTGGCCACTGTGCTGTGCATCTGAGATGGATGCAGAATAGCATTGAATGTAGATTGTAGTTGAAAATTTTATTAAAAGACATACTATAAAAATTTTAAAACACCAATTTCAGTTGGCCACACTTTAAGTTGGCTATAATTTTAATTCACAAGTGTGTGTGTGTGTGAGAGAGAGAGAGAGGAGAGGGAGAGAGAGAGAGAGAGAGAGAGAGAGAGAGAGAGAGAGAGAGAGAGAGATGGATATGTCAGTTAGGGAAGGGTGCTTTCAGTAAAACTGGTAACACCAGTTACAAACTAAATGTCAGAAAATGTATTCAGCTGCGTGGACGAACTCTGCAAAGCAAGTAACCTTTCTGGGGATGGTGATTTGCAAACAGGATGAAGGTTAAAATAAGACCAATAATACCAGTTTAGGTATTTCCCCCTTTTATGAAAATATAATGTATACTAATTTTAAAATTTCAAACAGGAGCATTTCATGAAATCATTGTGATAGCGAAGAGCTGTTTTAACACAATTTCACCAGCATCATCGTTCCCTGAGTTGGGACGTAAACTTTCCTATGTACTTTTTGCTCCCAGTGAAGTGATGCCATTCATTCTCAAGGCACCACTTGAAAAGGCAACAGCAACTGGAAGTAACAGGGTAAGAAGATCCAAGGATAAAAGAGGGAAACAGAAGGGTTTAGACACCTGAAACCCTTGCTGCTCATTTGCCTCCATCTGGGTTTGTGGAGGAACGTCACCCACTTGTATTCATTCCTAACGAGAGTATATACTGAGCTCTTTGAAATGTGAGTATTATGGGAAGGATCGCAGTTGCTTTAAATTACAGGAGCTGGCAAGTGCCTGGGAGGAGCAGGAGGTTGTTTAAACTGAGGAAGACAGTTGCAAAACCTCCTACAACAGCATGAACTCCGAGCTTCAAACGCGTTCTCATGCTCAGACGAGCGCTTCATTTTTCATCAAGTTATTTTTTATATTGTTTTGAAGCAGCTTTGGATAATAAACACGTATGCTCTACATTTTTTTAATGGTTTCTAACTTCATGGGACAACCAAAGCCAGAAAGCTTCATGTTTAGGGGGAACGTGTGATGTCAGCAATGCCTAAACAAGGTAAGCTACCATCTTCACTGTGGCCTTTGTCAAAAATATTTATTAGAGGAACTTAAGACAGCTACTTATAAAGAAATGAGGGGCTTGTAGAAAGTATATCAATAAATGAATCAGAGGGTGGAAAACTCAGCGGTGGTGCTTTCTCCTACTTTCTATTCTGCTTGACGCACGAACCTCTGTGAAGTATCTTTTGACTGCATGAAAAATGCCATTTCCTTTAGAACCTGTGTGCGGCTCTTCAAAATATCTATTCTGGTGCACTTGGCATTTGCTAGTGTGGCGATGGGCTAACATACTGCCGAGGTCAGAGTATCTACATTTTCTCATTCGGTTATATGCAGCTCAACTTCCTGCACTATAATCTTGCTATTAACTCAGAAATCTTTCCCATGGACGTTTTTAATAACGTTCCAAAAATCCTCTAAATACGGTTTCTATGGCTTCTTATAAACTTGTTTTGCAGGATGTGTTTTCAAAAGTTAAATAAATCATTTGATTTTTCCCTTTGTAACCACATGGAGGAGGTTGCAGTTATTATGTCTTGGGGAGAAAAAAAGTTCAACTCCAAGTTTATTCAATCAAGTTGACTGACGGTGCTATTATCTGAATGGGGTGGCTTTGTCTTCTTGATTGTGCCTCAGAAGCAGGTAGCGAGCAGAGAGGAGAAACTGTTCTTTGTTTTGCCATGCGTTGACCAGATAAGTTTCTTGTGGTTTTAAGAGGAAGGGCACGTAAATGTGTGATGTGTTCTTTCAATTTCTCTGAAAAAGTATGTTATCAGTGTTCCCATCTTTTCGAGGCAGACTTCCAGGTGCAAAAAAAAAAACCCTAGATATTTGTGGAGGTCTGCAAATTCTTCCAGCAGGCTGCAATTTAGCAGAGCCCGTATTCATTCCTTTACGCACACATATGGACTCACAAGCAGAAACTCACAAGCAGCAACTTAAAAGCCCTGTGGGTTTGACCAAGCATTTGAGTGGCTTGGGACATCTAAGCAACCTCAGCCTGCAAACCCCGCCGATCTAGAAACACTGGCAGACACTCCTGTTAGGCCTGGGTGAGAACATGGATGCTCCCCCGGGGCGCTGGGCTTGGGTTGAGAAGGACTCTGTCTTTGCTGTAGCAACTGCTGTTCTGTAACTGGGATAGGTTCCCCTTCTGTGTTAAATTCTGATTACTTTTGGTGGATGATCGTGACTTCCCCTGCCTTTTGTAGTCTCCGTGAAAGGAAAGCGATAAGATAGAGAAAGGACGTTATTGTAGAAAAGGGAGAAGGCAGTTCCATCAGCTCATTGCGAGGTGGTCAAGAGCAACTGTGAGTTCCTTTCTCCATCCGTCATTGGTAATGGAGGAACTGAGGGACCCGTGCCTACCAGGTCCTTGTCCTTCTCCTGTCCGTATCTTCTCTCGTCTCCCTTTGTCTCTCTCCATGCCGGCCATACGGCATCAAGAGAGGCAGCAGTGGGTTGGACATTCGAGAGTAATATCATCTCCTCCTTCTCGTCCTCTCGGCCATTCCCAAGCCAGTTGAGGAAGCCCCCACCCCATTTGGAGGGGGTCTCCGGGACCCCACCCCATGACCTCATCACAGGCAGCTGGAGGGCTGGGATGGCCAGCGGTTACGTGGCGCCTGAGTGCGCCCTGGGGAAGGGTGCGGCCAAGAAAAGCGCACTGTGGCATGACGTGACTGCTGCGGAGCCCAGCGAGGACTTTCCATCCCGGGTTCCCACGGAGGCTGGCGGCCTCTCTGGAAGCCAGACCGGCCAGGCCCCGCCTCTGGGACCTTCAGAGGCCCCAATGAGGAAGAAAACAAAAGGCAATTAGAGTTGCTAATGAAACCCAAGCCAGCTGACTCATCTGAGGCGCAGCCACTGGGGGGTTAGGTGATGAAACCTGGACAGCGCCCTGGAAAGGACAGGTCAGGGTTGTCCCAAAAAGGACGGTGATGAGAGGGCCCATGCGACCTAATCATGTCTGTTCACCTCGAAGAGGCTGGGAGAGAGGACGGAGGGAGGAGAGTATTAACCGATGAGCTGCCAGGGAGTGTGGGAGCCATGCTGTCTGAACTGGAAAGGATTTTAGTTTAAACCCCTTAGTCCAGTGGTCAGCAAACTCATTAGTCAACAGAGCCAAATATCAACAGTACAATGATTGAAATTTCTTTTGAGAGCCAAATTTTTTAAACTTAAACTATATAAGTAGGTACATTGTTATTGACTTAATTAGGGCACTCCTAAGCTGGCCTTTGCTAAAAACATCCTCCAATCTGATTGAGGCACGTTCGCTGAGGTTGACCCCTTTCAACTCTCCCATCCACATTCATCTTGTATACTTGTTTCGTTCATCCTCTCTATATGTCCAAACCATCTCAACATATCTTCCTCAATCCTCGACACTACATCTTCTTTCACTCCACAGTGTTCCCTGTACGTGGGCGCCCGCACGTGGTATTTTGTGGAAGAGTCACACTCAAGGGGCCAAAGAGCTGCATGTGGCTCACGAGCTATGGTTTGCCGACCACTGCCTTAGCCCATCTTGCCTGCTACTGCCACACACCCCAGATCTGTGAACCAGGACCTGTGAACCATGACCAGGCTCAGGAATCACACCCTGGAGAGACTAGGAAAGAGATACCCTTACCTGGGTGTCCACTCTGTGCCAAAACCTCAACAAGGTTCTGAACTTGGCCCTTGACAGAGAGAAGGAAGGCACTCAACCCTGTAGGAAGTAGATGGAGAAGAGTTTAGAGAGAGGCTTTAGAAATCAGCCTGCTGACCTCAAAGACAGCTTCTCATAGCATGCTTTTGAATAGACCTTAGAGGAGGATTGAAATATTGTGAGAGAAGCAAGACGGGCAAGAAAGTGCAAGCAGAGGCCAGTGAGCAAAAGCACAGAGGTGGGAAACATGGCTGCTCCCATGAACCAAGCAGACTGAGGGAATCAAGACTCTACTTCCCAAAATGCATCCCAAGGCACACCCGTGGCCTGGGTCATTAGTGAGAGGATGACCAAAGGTGTGATGAGGAAAGCTGGGCACCTTGTGAAACAGAACTTAGGTCTGGGGTCACAGACATCCTACTTCAAACACAGCTCCACCTTTAACTGCCCTGAGTGCCCAGAACCATTCAAGCATCAGTTTCTTCATCTGTTAAACGAAGATAATAACTCTACCTATTCTTTTAGGGGCATCTTGAGGATTAAATTAGAAATTCATGCAAAGGGTCTGCTATCAGAGTATCTGGCATATAAGAGATCAATGAATATGAGCTCTTATTAGCTATTAAATGCTGCTTTCTTCACTGCAGGGCTTCTCACACATTTTAGCTTTTCATTTTATTTTTTGAATACTCTATTTGCAAGTATTTGTACTAATAAAAACATATTAATTTATAACCTTTTATTGACTACTTATTTTGCATCAAGCATTATTCTAGGCACTTTATTTGATAGTTTCATTTAAAATGCACAACCTATTGGTGATATTCTACTGTCATCTTTACTTTATAATTTGAGAAAATTGTAGTTCAGAAAGGTTAAATAATTTGCTCAAATTTATCTCAGTAACTTCATATGGAGCTCTAGTAATCAAAACTTTTTGATCGTCACACATGCTAGAAATTTTATCTGTTCTCCCATGTTTTTGTTTTTTAATGTGTCCTCTATCTCTTTAGGAGTGGGTCATTAGAATCTAATGTTTCACAAACACAGTAGAACATGAAACCAATTTTTCCCAAGGAGTGGCACACAGCACATGGAATGTGGAATGTGTGCTGAAAAATGGTGAGATTGAGTTCAAGAAACATGGCCTTCAAGAGTGTGAAGTTTCCCAAGATTTAATTAAAATTTATTAATCTCCATGAGCCACTTCATGAATTGACTTTCCAGATTTCTCTGAAACAGGAGCCCAGCAACTAGGATTCTCATATCTAAGCAAAATTAACTTTTAAAAATATTGCCAATTTTTAGAAGAAATAATGAGAGGGAAGCAAATTCTCATTAGCAGTTTCACACCCGAAAGGTCAGCCTTCGCTTATGGTTCAGAGGCCTGCTGTATAGAGGGCATTGCAAAGGACGTCAGAATAAAACATGATCCCACCTTCAAGGAGTTATCATTCCAATGGGGAAAATAAAACACGTGTTCCAACATGTAAAATGCAAAATCAGATTTACAAGAAAGAATATAAGAGAGGCTCAAGGTGAGTGGGAATTCAGAGAAAAGGAGACCTCGGGTCCATGGAAAAAATCAGAGTAATGTGTAACATTCTTTGCTATTTACCATGTACAAGGAACTGTGCTAAGTACTTTACAACATGACTAACCCATGTGTACTTTACAAGGCTGCAAGGTGGGTGTTAACTTACCCATTTCACAGATGAGAAAACTGAGCCCTAAAGAAATGCAGTAACCACCTGAAGTCTTTTAAGAAGTAAGTCGATGAGTATGATCTCAAACTCGGGTCCATCTGATGCTCAGGGAAGACTCCTCAGAGGAGGTCACATGCAATCTGACCTTGACAGATGGATAAGGATTGGTGGTAGGAGCATTCCAGGCAGTGAGAAAATATTAGGAAAACCATGAAAGATACCAGAGTTGAGAGGAACAGGAAAGCTTCCCTGGCAGAACAAGTACAGCATGGAGAGCAAAGGTAATAAGCTCAAAAGGCTTGATTGGGGGAGCAGTGGCAGGGGGGTGGGGGGTAGTTGATTGAAATCATGTCATAAGGAAGCCTTGAATGCCAAACCACAAAATTTGGATTTTTTTAAAGCTGTGATTATTGAAGTTTGTAAACAAGAAAGTAACGCCCTAGCAGTTCAGTAGTAAAATGATTTAAGATGATTAATCAGTATTTAGAAGGGACAGAGACTAAACCTCCAGTTAGGAAGTGATATTTGTCCAGGTTTTTATTCACATGGCAATTAAGGGATGGAGATAAATATTGGGCCCAGTCTCCTAAACCTGCTACACCAAGACCCTGACCATCACAGTGGTCTTTCAAACAA